TTGATCAGATTTTTTCTAATCCTATCAGGGAAAGTGGGGGGGGACAGATCAGGGTCACTATAAATCTGGGGGGGACATGTCCCCCCCGTCCCCCGTACTAACTGCGCCCATGTACTGTATTACTGCTAATACAACTATTTGACCTGATGTGGGGTGGAACTGGCTTCCACTGGTTATAGTGCTGATGGAGCCTAATGGGCTCAGTCCTCTGATACAAAGGTCTGGAGACAGGTTCGCAGTGGGTCCACAAACAGATTCAGGTCCATGTTGAATAAAAATAAATTAAAAKGAACACAGTTATAGTATCACACAGTCACAGCCAGTAGTCTCATTAATCAGACAGCAAACATTTTTCTACACATACAGTATTGGTCACTGAAATCTGAAGGAAGTAGTTTGGTAGTAGTTAAAAATAGATTAACTTAGTTAAACACAGTTAAACTTTGATTTATGGTGATTCTAATTAAAATCAATGTCCGTATAGTTCTGACTAAGCTTTAAAAATGTAGCCAACAAGGTCCTAATAAACAAAACAAAATACTGTATAGTCAGAGAAAGCTTTTTAAACTCACAGTTAACACCAGTTAGGTTTTTGTTATTTTCAAGCCGTTCTAAATAAACTTAGACTGAACAGGAAACATGAGGCTGTTTTTTTCTTTCCTCTTATCATCATGCTAACACTAACACCATGTTAACAACAACAGCAATCAACAAAGCTCTACTTTCAGCATAGAAACTGTTTAAACACATCCTCTTACAAATACCGACAAGTACTATGTGTACCAAATGTGAAATAAATAATACAAACTACTATTAAAAGTTAAAAGAGTTTAACTTACAGTTGTTTAAGGGTTTGATGGTGGGCGACACGAGTCCCCCTGCTGGCCGGGACAGAGCACTGCTGTAATGTGTTTTTGAACTTGCATTATTTTTTCCATTATGCAGTCGGTTTTATGAATGCATCAGTTTTCTTTTTTGGTTGTTCATCATAAATCCACRATCTACTTTATTGTTGTACTACATGACATGAATGACAAACTGAAAAGCCTCCAAATGCTTTTCCCTTCAGCAAATTGTTGTGTTTATAAAGAGTTCATCTGGTCCCAAATGAGGCAGTGGTCATGTCCCCCTAGTGGTCTGGCTTAGTTACTGTTTGCAATCGATCTTTTCGGTGTTCCATGCATAATGTCTTAAGGTAAAAGAATTGTACTTGTAAATTTGATTCGTACTTGTAATGTGGCAAAGTTGTAACTTTTTAACTTGTATTTGTAACTTAAAAACTTGTATTCTCACATAAGAATTGTACTTGTAAATTTGATTCGTACTTGTGAATTTGATTCGTACTTGTAAATTTGATTCGTACTTGTAAATTTGATTCGTACTTGTAATGTGGCAAAGTTGTAACAAATTTATGTACGTTTATAGACTTACATGTACAAATTTAGACCCTTACACATACAGTGATTCTGACAGTTCTCTTACCCGATAGATTAACACCTCATTTCTGGAACTTTCTTCAATATAACACGGGTACTGGGATCTGCTGCTCACTCGGGTCTGACCATTAAGCGAACGAACGCACACACACACGGAGCGTGGGCGGTTCTTAAAATGAGTCACTGCGGCCATACGCAGGTGATCACTATCAATACTAATTAAACTAAGGTGCAAACAGGTGGAACAACAAAAAATAATTTTGTGCAACTCCAGGTTGCCACATGTTTTATAGTTTTTAAAGTAAAAGTTGTTATTTAAACCCCTGAACTCCCTGCATTCGCCCCTAAGTTCTAGTCACAATACCTATTTAAAATTGCTATAACTGGAAAAATACTCTGTCTTTGAGACTCTCTTTCCATTTGAGACTTTGTATTTTACACCAGTTTTTAAATTGTGTTGATAGGCCAAGTAAAACCGGAGTTATGATAAGTATTAAACTCAACATTTTTTTTCTGAAAATGAAAGAATGAAACAGCAGTCTCATGAAAAAACACCACAGTCAGCCGTCGGTCTCATCCTTCTCTCAAGCTGAAAGAATATAAATCCCCTGATTTCTTTTCTGACCAAGGCCCAAAGTTATTTTTCAAGAGGTAAAAAGCAGAAAGAAGAAAATAAAAAAGATGTGAAAATTGAATGAAGTTCGGCTTTAAAGTTAATATAAGTTTAAAGTTAATATAAATAAATTACAAATTAAAAGGGGCATGGAAATTTCTCTTTTTCGTATTGAAAAAATATCGAACCGTGAGACTAAAGTATCGAACCGAACCGAACCATGAATTTCCTGTATCCTTGCACCCCTTATATATGTATATATATGTATATATACAGTGGTTTGCAAAAGTATTCATACCCCTTGAACTTTTCCATATTTTGTCACATTACAACCACAAACATAAA